AAGACTGCTGTAGTCACCTTGGACCTAATTCAAAAGAGAAATGCCAACCTTATCATCCTCTACTCCCATACTGGGAGGTGTAACAGCTATGAAGATTGCTGTAAGCCATTAATAGTTATTTTTTTATACATTAAGAAAGGGGGACCTGTGGGAGCCCGTTCTCGGGTTCCTCGTGGCTTTACCCAGCAGGTCCGCATAGAGGATGATTAGACCACGGGCCTAAGTGCAGGTGTCTGGGATGGTCTGCACTTGGCTGTGCTGGGGGAGGAGGTCTTTTGCTCCACCCCTTGGCGTCTCTATAAAAACCCTGGGGCAGAGACAGTCAGGGCCCGTTGGAATAGGTTCCAGGCCCTCTTGAGGCTATCCTTTATTTTCTATCTGTTTATCTCCGCGATATTCTCCGCAATAAATCCTATCTAATATTTCCTGCTGCTCGCACTCAAGAAAACTCTGGGGAACTGTGGGGGTGGTTGGGTAAACGCCCCACACATGTGTTAGCTGTAATGGATAATATAGAAACTTAGCTGACCATGGGCCCTTAATAAATTTAGCTAACTTTCAGCCTGCTAAACTAGTGTCCCACATTTCAAAAGGCATCATACAAAGTGAGGAAAAGCAAGGCTCCACAAGTCTTCAAACTTTAGAAGGACAATGACAGCAAGAAAGGGAGTATATACATTACCCATCCTGGGTGATTTCCTCCTTGGTGGAAGCAGGCTGATCTATGGCCAAGTGCACATCTCTTGCTGGGACCCATATTGGCATAGTGGCACTCTGAGGAAAAACACAAGTATATCCTCTCCCATGGGTTACCGGGGGGCTGGCGGCTGCCATTGGAGGGAGACAGGATCTCTCCATCTCACCAGGGGCAGAGGCTGTTCCTTGACAGAGATGCCCAGTGCTTCTAGGCCAGGCTGAGCCCCTTGTCATCAAAACTGAGAATGTCCATATGGGAAAGGACCTCTGTTAAGGCCAGATGAGGATATTTCCTAGCCTCTGCAAGCTAGTCCTCATCAGCAGCTCCTTAAAAGCTCTATTGGCCCTCTCAACAATGGCTTGTCCCTATGGATTGTAGGGAATGCCAGTGGCATGGGATATCTTCCAGGACCCCAGAAAGTCATTAAATTGTTGAGAGGCATAAGCAGGGTCATTGTCAGTCTGAAGTGTCCAAGGTACCCCCATAACTACCATGGCTGACTTAAGCGCCTTGATAACATTAATGACCTTCTCCCCAGAAAGGGCAAGGGCATAAACAAAGGAGGAACAGGTGTCTATTATCACATGAACATATTTAAGATTGCCAAAGAGGGCATGATGTGTGACATCCATCTGCCAGATGGCGTTAGGCAACAAGCCTCGGGGATTAACCCCTGCATGTTGAAGTGGTCCTAAGGGGGCCAGAGGAGTGCTAGTGGCACATGCCCCGGACAAATGTTTACATTGGGAAACTGGCAATTCTGGAAGAAGTCTATGTAAATTCCATGGTGACAGATGAAATTGCTGGTGAAGAGCCCTGGCTTGCTCTAGGAGATCCATACTGGCTGTTAATACAATGGTGTCTGTGGCCTCATTTCCTCGAGCCAATATTCTGGGTAATTTGGGATGAGATCTAATATGTGACAGGTACCAATGCTCAGTCATCTGATTTAGGACATCTTGTATGAGCAACATGGTGCTGGCGATGGAGGTCAGTGAGTCTTTGACTCGAGAAAAGGTGAGTACATGAACGCCTGTAAAGCGTATGTATTAGCTGTCAGAAAAAAATATTAATAGGCTGGATCTGGCACTCTATTAGAACTTTTAGGAGGGTCAATAGCTCACCCAATTGAATAGAACCAGGGTTAGGGATAACATGTGTGACATCTTTGGAGCCAGGACGCCGGATAAGAACACTCTATCTGTTTTTATTGGAATCTGAAAAGGCCAGAGTGGCATGAGGAATGGGAGTGGAGGAGGGGACTATATGAGACTGTATCTGTATTTGAGGTGTGGGGAGTTCTGCTAAGATCTTATTTTTTGGCAAATGATTGTCAATAGTTCCTGTGAATCCTGCAACCATTTCCTGGAATGAGATGGAATCTGCCCAGAGGGACTCGGTATTCTTTAAAGAAAAGGGGAAGACAAGCTTACCTGGCTCTCATCCATATGTTCTTCATGCCAGGATCTGTGCCTTAAGGCTGAGTTGGAAGGACTGGTCAAATTTAGAGGTGACCTTGTGCATGTCAGAATGTGCTTGATGTATCCATAGAAGGGGCCCAGACTGTCATAACACTGCCAAGAATCCCCTGGGTGTCCAGAGGACCAGTGCTAATAAAGATCTTTGGGGATCATGGCGTTGCAGGCTGGATGTGGCTAGAATGGCCAAAACCTTTTATAGCAACTCTTTAGCTTCTTGGGTAAGCCTAACCTTAGTGGAAGGACAGGTGAGGCCATGGAATAGAATGGGAGGACCCTGAAACAAATCCATGCAGCTAGAGACAATCAATTCTTGACAAAGCACAAATGTACACATTGGAGAAAGAGAATCTTAAAGTGGTGCTGGGGAAAATGGCTACCTGCATTTAGAAGGTAGAAACTAGTGACCTGTTTCTGCCCCATGCAAAACTCAGCTTAAAACGGAAACATAGTATTAGGATTCCTAGCCACTCCCCCAGCTACATGATGGTGCATGTGTTGTCCAGCAGCCAGGCAAGATGCTTAGTCATCCCAGGGCCTTATGTCTTACACAATACATGCACAGTGTGATCACGTAATTTGTGTGCAGTGTGACCACACGGGCATGTGTGGTGTGGCTGTGTAGGCCCACATGTGCATGCTCAGGGGGACCCATAAAAGCAGGTTCCACCCGTTCCTCCACTCCCTATCCACACTGGTTGTTTCCATAGGCCCATGCATTTCTTTACACCTATCCCCTTTCTTTAAGAAACTCTTATAGTGGGTTTTGTTGTACCTCATGTTTCTCTCTCAAGGTAAACAGCATGCATAATAAATAACACATAGTCCTACTGAATTATATAAAACTGTAGAATGAAGACAGAGGGAAGATACATCAGGTCTGAGCACAATTATTTCTTAAATAGGACTCAGGAAGTAAAAGCAAGAATTGCCAGCTGACCTTACATCAAGTTGAAAAGCTGTGTACAACAAAATGCACAACCAGCAGATATGAACCAACTCCTACACCTGAGGCCCCGGGAGCATCAGGAAGAGGAGGCAGAGTGACTGACAGAGCCAGAAGACCGGGAAATTGCCTATCTTCGAGACAACAGGGAAGTCACACCCACAATACCTCAACAATATAGCTGCTAAAACAACGCCTGAACAATGATACTAGCAATAGATGTGCTAACATGGAAGGGGGAAATCTCACGGGGCTCCATCCCCAGACAAAGAAATACAGGCAACTAATGAGTGCTAAGAGGAAGAATCTTCCAGGGATGTACCCCCCAAAGTACTTATACAATAGAAAGTAGTCAGCCTCAAACCATGTACACACAATCCACACTAAATGGACTTTGCGTATGTGCGTGTGAGAGGGGAGCAGAGGAGGAGATATGGTAGGGTTTGAAGGATGAAAGGAAAGGGAGAAGTAAGGTAATGATATTTTAATTTTAAAAAGTTTAATTAAAAAACATAGCAAAGACCATGAACAGAGGTGTAGAAAATGATTGCCAGCCATTCATCTGATGGAAGACAAATAATCCAAATTGTGATAGCTAATATCGGCTACCAACTCACTTAGCTTGAGAAGACACCAGATTAGTAAAGCACACTTGTGGCTGTGTCGGCAAAGGAGATGCTCTCCCTGAATGTGATCGGTACCATCCTGTAGGCTGGGGGCTCAGGTGGAATAAAATGGGAGGAAGGAAGAGTCAGTCTGCACAGCCTGCATCCTCTGTGGTCCTGACCACCATGGTGTGTGCTGCTCAGCGGGGCTATGCCCTCCCCACAAGATGGACTGAGATGGCCAAACTCATCAACCAAAATAAAAGCTCTTACTTTTAAGTTCTTTATTTTGTACATTTGTCATGGTGACAGAAAGTCTAGTTAAAAGCATGTATACCAGGCATAAGGCTGGTGATATGGCTATTATGTGAAGTCCACAAGGACTTTAAACAATTGGAGATATGGAGTAGAGGCTGTTGTCAGCAGATACAGAATGCAAATAAGACTGTGGAGCCTCAGGTTTCATATGGCAGTGAGACTCTACTGGAAACAGAACTGCCAGGAATCTAGCAGAGGAGAGCTGTGAATGTGGCACAATGAAATTTTAAACTTCCTTAAAGCATTATAAGATTTGTGGTAGGTGTTTGTTTGTTTGGTTGGTTGGTTGGTTGGTTATTTTTTGCAACCTGATAGACTAGTTTTACAATGTGAACTCTGTAAATAATGTCACGTTTTAATGTTAACACATTGGAAATGCCTAGGAGAGGCTGTTGGGTGGATGGGAGCAGGGAAGTTGTCTACACTGTGTTCACAGCCTGAGATTTTGCTTGTGACTGAGTTTAATGGGGGGTTAATAAAGCTGATGGCAAAAATTTTGCTGGTGGTGGAAACTTCTGACAGAATAGCATTCAGGCCTGGCATGCTATTGGTAGATGCTGATAGCTCAGTTTGCAATGAAAATCAGCATCAAAACTCAATAAGAAAACATGCAGTTTGCTGGAAAAAACCCATTTGAGGTTGGGGACAAGGAAATGGTGGTAGATGGCCAGATTAAAGATTTAAAAAATAAGCCAAAAATTTTCATCTGGAAGAGAAAGATACCTTGAAAGCATCATAGGAATTATTCAGTTCCCATGCATTCCCCTCAAGAACATAAACATTTGCCTTGAGAAGAGATTCTCCATGGTGTCCTATCACACATACCACAAGAGAGTTTCCCTACATGTGGTGATATTGTGTTCCCCAACATATTGTGCACCCTAATAAATTTATCTGGGGTCAGAGAACAGAACAGTCACTAGACATAGAGGCCGGAAAATGGTGGCACACACGCCTTTAATCCTAACATTCTGGAGGATCTCTGTGAGTTCAAAGCCACACTGGAAACAGCCAGGCATGGTGACTCATGCCTTTAATCCCAGGAAGTGATGGCAGGAAGCAGAAAGGTATATAAGGCATGAAAACCAGGAACTACAGCTGGTTAAGCTTTTAGGCTTTTGAGCAGCAGTTCAGCTGAGATCCATTTGGATGAGGACTCAGAGGCTTCCAGTCTGAGGAAACAGGATCAGCTGAGGAATTGGCAAGGTGAGAAAGCTGTGGCTTGTTCTGCTTCTCTGATCTTCCAGCATTCACTCCAATATCTGGCTTCAGGTTTGATTTTATTAATAAGACCTTTTAAGATTCGTGCTACACCTTCATTCTGCTACCTAGGCCCTAACGGGCTCCTACAACTGCATTCTAAGGGCCTGTCCCCACCATTTGGGGACAGACTTCGCCATCATCCATGATGCTGTTTCTGCAGGCACGCAGAATGCAACTTATTGGTTCATGGAAGCCTTGATATGGATTTCAAAGGAAAAGCAGAGCATGTGTGTTATGGTACAAATGGCCATTAGCAGCCTGTATAAAGGCCATGGGTGAAGCTATGAGGGTGAAGCCAGAGATGGGACAGAGACCTTAGAAGGTTAGAAAAGAAAGGAGTGTGAAACCCATACAGAGGAGAGTACAAACAGTGAGCAGGGCCAGTTCAGAGAGGCCCTATGCAGCAAACTGGCAGGCCTATAGAGTAGGAGATTCTTGACTTCTGGTGCTCTCATATGAATACAATAATGCCATGAGTGTGGGCCATGAACATAAGGGACATAATGTTTGCCCTACTGTTTTTCAGGGCAAACATTATCTTCCTTTTCTCCATTCCTAATTTATGGGCCCCAAATCTACCATTTTGAAATGGCAATGTATACTTTAGTCCACTGAGTCTTACAGGTGTGTAAAATGTTCTTAATTTTCCAAGTGCTCACTTGGGTGGAATCATTTCTCTGTTCGGTCATTCCTGCCCTCTCTGGAATGAGTAGACCTTTGTGTGTACCCAGGAAAAGTGGCACAACAAAAATCTCATCCATCCCACAGTGTTCTTGTTTCATTTAGACAGCAGGACAATATTCCATCCACCCCCTGTGGAGGTGGCATTTCATGAAGTTGGATCTCTCTCCATACTTCCCTCTCTAAAGCACATAGAGTCATCTTGAGCCAAAGACACAGACTCTAATTTGATTTTCCAGGGGAATGGTTTTGTGATGTTAGAATTTGAGAGTATAAAATCAAATGTTTCTCCTTGTTGTGTTTGTAAAGTATGTGACACAATTCTGTCTTTCCTTACTGTGCTTATACAGTATGCCACACGATTCTATGTCCTCAACAATAAGATGCTTTATTTTGGAAACATCTTCTGTGGAATATCCCTTCTCTTGGCTCCAGCCTCTCAAACCTAACTGGGCCTCCTCATCAGAGCTCAACATGTTCCCTCTGGGTTAGCCTCTCTGCTGCCCCCTTGGCCCTGAGCTCAGTCCAAAAGGCCACTTCCTTGTCTTTCAGCCTATGAGCTGCCTGTGTTGGGACTCCAATCTGTAGGTACCCTTCCTTCTGGTCATATTTTGGCCAATGGGGCAGCCCTTCTCCATTGGGATTCCTGTGAACAGAATAAAAAGAGAAAGTCACCACATCATCTGTGCTGTCCCCATGGTACTCAGAGATGTGCAAGGATGCCTGGCTTATCTCTGCCGAGAAACCAGTAATCTACAGATGGACAGATCTCTATCTCCTGGGATAGCTCTCTCTCTCTCTCTCTCTCTCTCTCTCAAATCATGTTATGATTTAAACCTTACATTTTCTGCAAATCTTCATGTAGTATAGGCTAATACTAATCTGAGAGTTAGTGGAATCGAGGGGGAGCACACTTGGAAAAAGCGGATCACCCGAGGCCTTGAACAGTACAGGGGTTCCACTCTTCACATCAAGACTTTTTGACTGATAAGAGACCAGAGCCATTTCCTCCCGAGTGCTCCTACCATGATGCTCTGCCTCATTACAAATGAAAAGTCCAAGTGAAACTCAGAGCTCAATAAAGCTTTCATTCTTTAAGTTGATGGACATTGGGCATTTTGCCTAAGTATTTGAGAGCTAACACCTAAAACTGTTTCTGAGGAGTGACTCACTCTGTGACTAAGTGGGTATTGTGGTTCACAATACTTTTAAATTGGTTTGTGAAGGAATTTGGAAGTTTAAATGAAGAGTGTGCTCTATAAAACTCAAAATAGAGTTAGCAATGGATTCTAGTAGGTTCTTAAAGGAAAAAAAAGACAATGAAGCCAAGCTTTTAATATTTCAATGGGAATGAGGCATCTGTGAGAAACTTGTCTGGAGATAACTAGTGTTCATTCTGCATACATTTGTCCATGCCCCAAGTTTTCTTGATAGGCTGCTTTCAAAGATGGGTGGACCATGTAACTGGATGGGCTTGTTCAAAAGTATCACAGCTTTCGGGGCAATGTTAGGGTATTTTTGTTGATTTTGATTAGATTTACAGGGAGAGTAAAGGAAAAAAGAATCACAGCATCAAGATTTGAAAGATTCAGCTTTTCATAATAAACATCAGTGCCATATAAAGATGCAAGTTTTGTAAACATATAGAAAGAGGAAGTTATCCTGAGGACATCTCAGGAATCGGCAAGATGGCCCATCACAAAGTTATCACTTGCTTCAAAGACATTGCTTGAGATATTAGCATTAAGTATCTCTTCATCTACTGTGTGGTATAAAACATTGATTTTGTCGGGCTTGTTTCCTTGTGCTCATATACTCAGAGGCTTTACAGCCAATGGTCCATGGAGCCTAACTACATCTCAAGATACAGTTATCTCTTGGTGTCATCATGTGGCACTGGTTTTGCAGGCATGCAAAATGCAAGGCTTATGGGGTCATCAAGGTTGCTCCCTGGATTTCAAATGAAAGCATGTGAAGCCATCAAGTGCATGATTTGATGTCCCAGGTAGCAACAACCCTAAAAGCACGATGCATGTAAAGTAAAAACAAAAAGGAAAGTGACATTTTGATGGAGACCTAGTAAGTTAGAGATGCCATGACTTGGAACAGCTGCCCAGGGAACATCCAGGCTCTGAGTAGAACAAGTCTGTCTGAGCCATCGTTCTATTGCTGTGAAGAGACACCATGGCCAAGGCAACACTTAAAAAATAAAGCATTTAATTGGGGCCTTGCTTACAGTTTCAGAGGTTTAGTCCCTTATCATTGTGGCAGTAGCATGACACCATGCATAGCACCAGAGTGGTAGCTGAAAGCTACATCCTGATCCACAGACAGAGAGAGAGAGACTGGGTCTGACATGGGCTTTTGAAACCACAAAGACCTTGCTGGAGGAGTAACACACTTCCTCCAACAAGGCCACACCTCCAAATCTTCTAATCCAAGCAAAGAGTTCCATTCCTTGGTGACTAAGCATCTAACTATAGGAACCTATGGGCTCCATTTTATACCCATATATTAATGTGGGTATTATTTTATTCATTTATACACAAAGCCCAAGAAAGGCCACAGAGGCTACAGGCAGCAAGACCTTAGGAGAATGCATTTTCAAGCTTTTCAGAGCCCATGTCTGTCAACAGATTCCTGGATGTTCCAAAGGAGATTTAGGATTTAAATTCTTCTCTCTTGTATTCTGGACTTGCTTTGGTTTGATTTCTCGGTGCTATTTTCCTGTGCCTCCCTCTAGAATAGGAATGTTTGGCCACTGTCCTTGCATCTTGGAAATCTGTTACTTTTTTTGTTTGAGTGGGTTCTCATAGCAAAGGTTTACCTGAGACTGGGGAGTTTTTGGACTTGGATATCAAAGCAATATTAAAAGTGATAAGAGGTTAGGAATTTGTGGGGATGAGTTTTTGTGATGGACATGAGCTTCTGGGGGTCATGGGTAGGCTATAATTTAGAACTTAGTACAACCCCAAAAGCTCATGGATTGAAGCCTCGATCCCCACCTGATGGTGCCACTGGGGCATGGCAGAAAAATAATAAAGAAGGACTTGGAGGAGGAGGATCACGGGAGACTTGCCTCTGAGGATTGTGTTAGGATTCTGGTCCTTTTCTCCCCTTCACAAGCAATAGGAGGTAAGGAGCTTTGACTACCATATCCTCCCCACATGATGCTCTGTTCTGACACAAGAGCTAATAGGCAAAATGATCAAGACTTGAAACCTCTCAGTCTGAGCTAAAATTCACAATCTCTCCTCATGTTTAAGAATCACCTAAATCTCATTACAACTACATGCCAGATTAACATAGCTCTCGTTGTTGGAATGCTATGATCACAGGGACAGAAGGATGATCACTCAGACATTAGAAAACTACTGCTTTCTAGTAGGTATGACCCATTGCACCACACCTTTGGGACTGGCATATTTGCCCCCAGCCTCACCCACTCCGAGCAAAGTTGGCCCAGAATTTCATCACCATCTTGCTGAGGTTGGTCTCCTCTTCTGAAGCACCATCTGTGTTAAAAAAGAATAAAAACTTACCCACTTAACTTAAGATGTGGTTAATGAACAGCCACAGCACAATCTGAGTACCTTTAATAAATGTGGTCTTGTTTACTAACACATCAGGCTGAATGTGTCCAATCTACCCTGATCTCTGAATATAAATGAGGTCAGGCCTGGTTAATGTTTGAAGGGGAGAAATGCACTCTTGGCCTTTATTACACACTCACTGAGCCCAAAACCTGCCTTTTAAGAAGATCTCGGTGAGTGTGCCTTCGATTTAAAGTAAGAGGAATATTTCAGATGCTCTATGCCTTTCTCTCTCATGCTGACCTACCTGGCATCCCTCTCAGGGTCCAGTAGTAACAAGACTCAGTTTCCTCAGCTTTAACACCAGGGTTGCTGACCCTTAGGTCTGTTCTCAACCTCCTACACATACACCTTTGCGTAGACTCTGGAAACAATCAGAACTGGGAGGTGCCCAGAGACACTGGTGTGCCACGAGGCACACACTATTAGGAGGTGTGGCCTTGATGGAGGAAATGTGTCACTGTGGGGGTGGGCTTCGAGGTTTCTTTTGCTCAAGCTTCCCTCAGTGTGACAGTCTGTCGACTTCCTATTACCTGCAAGATGTAGCACTCTCAGCTCCAGCACTACACCTGCCTGCATGCCGCCATGCTCCCTGTAATGATGATAATGGACTGAACCTCGAACTATAAGTGAGCCACCCCAATTAAATGTTTTCTTTTTAAGAGTTGTGGTCATGGTGTCTCTTCACAGCAACTAAGACAGTGATCTTCCAGTTCTCTTATTGGTGTCACAGGTCAGGATTCTGAGAATGACTATGGCTGGGGACACATTAACACAATCCCAATCGTGTGTATTAAAGGAGAAAGTCTGGAGACTGTCCTATAGCTGAGTCCTGTTACAGAGCATGACAAAAGCCATCTTCAAAGGAGAAACTTGCTCAAGACGGTCAAGCCAAAACCTAAACCCAGGCCTCATATCACCAAGGCCACAGCCAGCAAACAGACATTACCTTTTAAAAACGGGGCTCCCCATACAGAGAAGAGATCATCACCGTGGTCTCCTATCACTGTCTTGGGTCTCTTGTCTGATACAAAGCTTGGCCGATACTGAAACTCATACATGTAGGTGGGGGCTCCAGCATCTGAGGAGACATGGATTCATAGTTCACATCTACATCATACATAGTTCACATCACACACCTGGATGGTGTCGAAGCCTTAGGCCCTGCAGTTGAAACCACTCTTCAGCTTCATAGGAAATAGTTTTAGGAAGGCCCAGTGACTCGCTTAGGGCTGCACAGCTGGCTGATGTGGAACCAGGATTTGAAGAAGATTCTGCTTACTAACTGAACAAGAATGGATCCACACATGCCGTGACGGCACGGGATGAGTGTCAGTCATCACATCCGTGTATCGGTTCCAGAAAGATCTAGAACCTCCCCGTTGTCTTTCATCCAGCCTAGCTCTGGACATGCCCAGGGTTTTTCTCAGCTCTTCAGAGAAGAGTAAAGGAGATGATGGCACGCAAACAGGATTCTATGCTGACACAGAACGGTCGGTCTCTTGCATTTCATGACACCATAAAACTGAAGGTTCTTATTTCATCTCCAACTTGTTAGCTTGTTACCCCAAGTGCAAGGCCTTTTTTTAAGATTTTTTTTTCAGACAATATATTCTGATCACAGTTTCCCCTCCTCCAACTCCTCCTGGATCCTCCCCACCAAGCTGAATCCACAACATCTCTTTCTCTCTCTCTCACTAGAAAACAAACAAATGGACAAACAAACCAGAATAGGACAGAACAAACACACGAGCAGGAAAAAGAAGAACCAAAGAGAAAGCACAGGAAACACATACGGCACATACAGGCAGACACACACTCACACACACAGAAATTCCATAAAACACACAAAATTGGAAACAATAATACATAAGCAAAATTGCCCAGACAAAGCATAATGAGAAAAGAAAACAACCCTCTAAAAACACCACTCTTTAGTTTGTGTTTGTCGTCTACAGCTGGTCATGGGGCCTGCCCTGAAGAGTGAGACTCTGTCAGAGAAAACTCATTTTCCTGTGTGAGTGGCTGTGAACTGGAGATAGCTTCTGGGCTAGAGAAGCGTGGTTGTGTCCACATCCTCTATCGGCACTGGAACTCCATCTGACTTAGCCCTGTGCAGACCCTGTGCTGCCACAGACTCCGTGAGTTCACATGGGCAGCCCATCTGCTGTGTCTAGAAGGTCTTGTGTCCTTGGTGTCCTTGGTCACTCTGGCTCTTTGGATCTTTCTGCCTTCTCTTGAACAGTTTCCTTTCTCTGATCCCTGAGAGGAGGGATTCAAGGGAGACGTCCCATTTAGGGCTCTAAGTTCCGAGGGCTCTCACTCTGCATATTGTGTAACTGTGGTCTCTGTATTTGTTCCCATCTGCTGCAGGAGGAAGCTTCTCTGATGATGGCTAGGCAAGACACTTATCTATGAGTACAGCAGAATGTCATTAATGGTCATTTTACTGCTGTGTAGCATTTGTTTTTCCCCCATGTTTATGGCCTCTAAATGGTGAGATCAAAGTGCCAGGGCAAGGTAAACTTGTGTCTCCTCCAACCTCTCTCCTCCTCTCCATTGACTCTTCTCTCACCCACAAAGATGACCTGTTAAGTGTCAAGATGTCACTATTTTGCTTATAGGGTCAAGGGAGGTACCAATCTTTGCTCCTTATGTACTAGCCCATAAACTCCCTCAAAACAATGGTCATAATAATGGAATAGATATCCACATATTAGATATAGTAGGAAAATGATTCAAACTGCTGAAAATGTGTAATTTTACCAGAAAAGCTTCCTACTCTATGTACATTTATATATTCTTATTTTTATAAATACATATATACCTTTATCCACTTGTAATTCTGTTTTATCATCCATATACTTCACACGTGTATTTGAGGTAATTCTGTGTCTATTACATTAAATACACCGTCATTGCTTTATACCATGAGCTATCCATCCACAGAAGTGGATGAGGATAACACATGTCATCACAATACAGGATAAGGACTAATTTAATTAACTCACAACTCTATCACCACAGCTTTAGGCAATCCTGTGACTCTGCAATCCACCTATGAAACAGTGCTGCAAAGTCAGTGAGAACTTCCTGGAAAGACAGTTCCGCCTTGTTTTTGTTGCACAGTCATTTTAAGAAGAGATCCCAGACTGGAACTCTGCAGAGAACTTTGTGGATGAGAACACATTTTAGAAGGCATACAGCAGAAGATATGTTTGTAAATTTTTTGTTCAAAACAAAGGCTTTTGTCTTTATATTTATTAATTCCCCCCCCCCCGCCAAAAAAAATTTGTGCAATGTATTTTGATCATATTCACTTCCTCGTCTAAGTCCTCCCAGGCCCACCCTTCCTATCCACCCAACTTCCTCATTTTTTTTAACCAGTCAAATTCAATCTGTGCTTCCTTCCCAAACATCCTTGGATATGTGGCATTCCCATGGAGCATGGCTGACTGCCAGTGTGCTAAAGGAAATGAACTGCCAGCCCAGAGCTCTGCATCTGGGAAAGGAGCCTTTAAAATGGAGGGAGAAATAACAACTTTCCATGACTAGCAAAAGCTATGGGCCTTGTCATCCCTGGTCCTGCCCTTCACAAATGGCTAAAGAGAGTTCTTTAAATTGAAGCTTCAAGACAGCCATGCATAACACAAGACATATGAAAGTCAGCGCTGTAAAATGAGCCAGATAGTGATGATATGGACACAGTTTTATCCTATGTAGTACAAGGAGTCAACAGAAAATTATGCTAATGATTATAGCTGAGACAACTCCTCAAGTAGAGTTAAAATAGACTGTCATCCAATCATACAAATTTTACATAAATGACAGAAAATGTGTGTTCATTAAGGGGTAGAGTCATAAAGTAATCATGTTATCAGAGGAGATAGGAAGCTCAGGATCATATAGCCATAAACCATTATATGTTATCAAAGTTACACTTCTACCAGCTCACTACAGGCTGTCAGAATTACCCTAGGGGTCAGTGAGACAGCTCAGGCTGAAGCCCTGAGTTCAGTTCCTAGAGTTCCTATGACAGAACAGGAGAACTGACTCCCACTCTGACCTTCACCATGACATGATGGCGTGGGTGCACGGCGAACACACAAGCACATTGAAACAAAGTATCTATAAAAGCACAATGGTAGATGTAGGACTTATGGTAGACACAAAGCAAAAGTCTTCAGTAGAACCATAACCCAAAATTAGAAAAAAATTAAAGGCATACTCCTTCAGAACAGCAGAAAAACCACAAAGAAAGGCACCAAAAGAGGAAGAAAAAAATTGTAAAATCATAATGGAACCACCAAAGTATCAGTAGTAAGTCTTTGAGGACCAAAATTATCTTTAGTGTAAATTCTGAAATAAAGGAAATGAATTGAATGGATTTTTAAACATACCGTACCCACAGGCTTACCTTAACAGAAATGAACGTTGGAAGAGAAAGGATGGGAATGGATATATTTTCAAAGGAAAACTAAACAAGAGGAATGGTAGCAATTGTTATATTAGATCATAGGGTCTGAGTTTAAAAACATAATGAGTTTGACCTGGTGGCTCACACCTTTACTTACAGAAATCTGGAAGTTGAGAGAGAATTACTATGAATTTGAGACCTGTCAGATACACAGCGATTTCTAGGCCACTCCGAACTGCAGTGTGAGACCTTATCTCAGAAGAAACAAATAAAGACATCATGTTGAGGACAGGGTCAAATCAACCATAGCACACAACAATGGCAAATACAGACTCAACATCAGGGCTCCTAGATATATAGAACAAATAGTGGAGGTTATGAAGAGAAAGACAGGACTCAATGAATACCACAGCAATAAGGAGTCTCTAATACACACATTTACAATAAGGAACAGATCATTCAGAAAGAAAATTTACAAGCAATATTAGACTTGATAATGTATTGGAACAAAGAGACTATGCAGAAATATGCAGAATTGTGCAGGCTAAGATTATGTTCACTTGACACAAACTGTAGTTACTTGGGCTGGTGGTCCTGGGCTATGTGAGAAAGAGAGCTGAACAAGCTAGTGAGAGCAACCCAGTAAGCAGTACTCCTCCATGGTCTCTGCTTCAGTTTCTGCTTGAGGTCCCTCCCTGATTTCCCTTAATAATGAACTATGATGTGGAAATGAAAGATGAAATAAACCCTTCCCTTCCAAGGGCTTTTGGTTGTGGTATTTATCATGGCAATAGAAAGCAAACCATGGCAAGAATACTCTATCCAAAGTTGACAGACACCCACCGAACATTTTCTAGTGTAGACTGAGTGTGTCACACACACACACAAAAAAAAAAAACAACAAAAAAGTCATTTAATTTGAGAAGACTAAAATTGTACCAAATACCTACTTTTACAACACTAAAAATAAATTCTAAAAAATCAACTACAAGAATCATTTTGGAAAATTCAAATTCAAGGGCTAAGAAACATGATCCTGAGCAACAAATATCCCAAAGAAGAAATTAAAATTGAGAATACGTTTGAAACAAATGAGAATAAAGTACCTTTTCCTCTAGGGTTCAGGGAACATAGTATAAGAGGTGGTAGAAAGAATTCAAGAGCCGGAATACAGGGAGAACGGCCGTGAAGTCCTGTCTTCTGGGCACGACACAACCACTGTAGTCGTGAATTCACAGCAGCTGTACTGCCTGTCCTAGGATTTTGAAGCATTGGTCCTATCAGTAGCCAATCTTGGAAGTGAAGAGTTTCATGAGGTCTTACTCCTCGCTGATGGACTACTGGCTACTGATGAATTATTGGGGAAAAGGAGATACTACCCATCTGATGTTTACCCTCAGGTGAGCCCACCAGGCTCCACCGATAGTTCCATACCCACAGTCACACAGGTGCCCCCCCCCCCCAGTTAAACTCAGTGGCTCACAAAGAAAAGCAAAAAGAAATGAATATAGCAAAGGGGGAGTGACGGGGGGCAGAGGGAGTAAAAGGGCAGGGACTGAGAGTGATCAGAAGGCATTATCTACATGCATGAAATTGTCTTTGCACAATTTAACTAGGAAAACAGTGCAGCATGCCAGCACATGTGGGTGACAGTGAGGGGGTAGGGATAGCGCTGTAAGGGATTCTTCTAGCAATAAACACTGACATTAAGAGAGGAAAAGTTTCAAACAACCCAAGATTACACACCGAAGTTCAAAGAAGGAACAAAATCATAAAGTCAGAAGCTTGAGAGTTCAAAAAATAAGAAAGATGAACAAAACTGAGATTTTTTTCAGAAAGAAAGAAAAAACACCCTAAATGGATAAATCTACTAACCACAAAAGAAGAGGGAAGATCTAAATCCATTTAAAGACTCACAACCAGAAATGAAAGAGGAAACCCTACAACAGGGAACCCAGAGGCAGAGCCTGACGTAAGAAACTACTACCAACAAGGACATGCACAAAAACAGGATAACCCAGAAGGAACAGAGACAGTTAAGGGGACCCAGTACTCCCTGGACCACTGGGCAAGTGATAAATAGTTAAAATCCTTAAGATCACTGCTCCTGCTAAGGACACATTCTGTTTAGTTCTTTTGTACGCATTATTCCTGATGTTAATTTTCTGTAACTTGGCAAAAAATGAGGACCGTTTTACCTCATCATTAGTGGATGTTGGACTTTCTCTTACTGCTCTGGCTGCCTTGACCCGAAGGATTGTCAGTCAGCCAGCTGGACTACCTCTATGCCAGCAACAGACATCTTGAACACTCCACAGAAGCCTTTGGAAACCAATGATGGCAGTCGGAATATAAAACTAAATTTAATCCAGATGGTACTACTGCTGAATGCTGAAAACTACGGCCCATAGGTTAAAGAAAATGAACACACAAATGAATACAAAGACATCTCCTGATCGTGGAGTGTAAGGGTCCATTTTAAAATGTCCATAGTACTCACAGTGGTCTATCGGTTTAATAAAATATCTGCTCCAATTCCAATGCCATTCGTCCTCATGGAAAGAGAAAAAAATCTAAAAATTTTGCTGCCAAGAGGATCATGATTAGTAAGAACAAAGCTGGAACTATCCCACTGCCTTATTTTAAACTCTATTCTGTATCCACAGTTACTGAACAGTATGGTAGTTGCTTTACCCATGTGTATACACTGAACCATGGGATATAACAAAGATCAGAACACAGGCAGGGACTGACTGCTGTTTTACAAAGGTGCCAAGAATATAAGATAAGATAAAACAGCCAATGTTGTTGAGAAAACCAGATTTCCACATTCATAAATGAAACTATACTGGAGAGAAGACAAATTTAAGCTCAGAAACCCCCAATCACAAGTAGAATCATAAAGGAAAAACAGTAATTCTAGAAATTCACGGAAAACAATTTCTTAGATGTAACACCAACACCATGAACAAGAAGTGAAAAGTTCTTATTATCTTATCATTGGATATATGTAAATATCTAAATTAAAATGATAATGAAAGTCTTCTCTCATGATCCAAATAGGTTTTTATTGAGAAGTGAAAATAGAAAATTGTAGTAAATATGTATAGAAAAGGCAATCCTCTAAATACTGTTGAAGTGAATGAACAGCGATGTGGGGTTCCTCAGAGACGGAGAGCAGAGCCACAATATGGACCAGCAGTGTCACTACTGGGTGTTTACTTCAAATATTTGGGAAGAGTTTTCTGAGATGTCTGCACCCTACATTCATTGCAGCGGAACATACTACAATCAAGCTACAGAATCAATTGTGTCCATCAGCATCAGAGGAGAAGGAAAACGCAGATGTGTAGACAGCGGAGTTCTCTTTAGTCTCAAGAAGAAAACGGTGACTTTTACAATGTGGGGTGAATCAGAGAGCACCATGACATGTTAAATAGTTGAGCATAGAAAGATAAATGTCATTTGTTGCTACTCATTGTGGAATCTAGATTTACTCACAAGCATACAGACAAAACTTGGGGTTAAGAGATTGGAGGTCAAGGAATGAGGAAGATGAAGGAAAAGAGGAATAAAAATATCCAGCAGGAAGGAATTCTTTCTCTTTTTTAGTCATCCAATCCACAGTGTAGTGTATATTAATGATGAAATTACTGAGAGGAAGCCGGGTGGTGGTGGTGCACGCTTTTAATCCCAGCACTTGGGAGGCAGAGGCAGGCACATCTCTGTGAGTTCAAGGCCAGCCTGATCTACAAAGCGAGTTCCAGGACAGGACAGCCAGAACTATTACACAGAGAAATCCTGTCTCGAACCCGGAACCCGCCCCTCCCCCCAAAAAAATACCTGAGAGAAAATTTCAAGTCTTCTCACTGTAGAAAATGTTAATTATTTGAAGAAATGTGTGTGTTAATCAGTTGATATAATTATTAGGCATTGTATAATCAACAAAAAATGTGTACACCATTAAGTTGGCAAGCATAACTTATCAATTTGCAATTTAAGCAATGATAGAAAGTTTCTCTCTTTCAAAATATCTCATTGTGCTGTATTCTCCATTCTTTCTTCACTACTGTAGTTTTTCACAGGTAACTGCGAAAGTAATGCTAGAAAATCATCTTAATCTCACAGAAGGAGCAGTTTTGGCAGATGCAATTAGTACCTTTGATAGTCACAGTGACTTGGTTACATTAAGAATACTTAGAAAACTAGTAAATCGTACTTTTGTGTTCATGGGAGTGTTACCAGAGACAATTAGATCATTATGGCTAATATTTTATCTGTTGATGCATTCAAAGTTTTAACACATTATTGGGTGGAAGTCAAACTGGGGAAGGTGTGGCCTTGTTTATAAAAAGTAGGGTACTGGGTCATACTCATATGACCCAGTCAGGACCATGTCGCTGCTCCACACAGCTTCAATACTTACTTGTACTAATGATGTGAGCTGCTCAAACTCCCCAAATCACAGGCTGAAAATTCTGAGTTGAAGTAAAGCCTCCTTTCCTTAAGTTTTTATACGTCATATTTTTTGTTATGGAGTGGGAGAAGGAACAATTGCACCTTCTTACTAACTGCCTATGTTTCTGGGCAGGCCAGCCTGATGTTCACATAAAACATCAACAGGACTTGTCTGAGCCTTTTCCTGGTCATTAGAAATAACTGTGCTCATGTTTGCAACAGATAAGATGTCATAAACCTAACAATCCCTGTGGAAGAGCTCTTAGCCAATGAGAGGTGAGTATACACAGCTCTTTTGCTGCTGAGAGAGAAAAGCCCTAAGAAAAACCCTAAGTTGAAACTATCTAAGGTGGACACATGCTAGGCAGTTCACTAGTTTGGCCTCAATCTTTTCTAAGTGTTACCTCACTCTTCCATAGTGTTTGGTGGTACTATCTCCTAGAGTAAATTGCTTTTGAACACTTTTCTCATAGACTCCTACTGGCAGAAGTGAAACAAAAGATTGCAGGTCGTAAGGAACCAGCTTTTGATGCCTGGCCCTCAGCAGATTTCCTGTCTAATTCAAGAGGTGGGTGTGTCATAGGCCTAACTGGTGAGTCTATATCTTTCTCCCATGCAACACCTCCCATGCACTCACCTCTCTGGGCACGAGACACAATCACAGACGGAGCACCAAACATCACATCTCCCATTAAGTCCAGGAGAAGGTCTTTCTTTCTGGCAGGGTCGTCTGTCCCTGATAAATACTTCTCAATGGCAGCTGGAATCAGACTCTCAGAGATGTTCTAAAATGGGTCAGAAAGTGATCATAAAAAGTATTTCTAGGAAAAGCAATGAGAAAGACATGGTTCATGAGATTTGCTTATCAATAGCTTTGTTTAGCTTATCAGAGCCCAGAACATCCAGTGACCTACAGACAGTAGCAGCCCATGTGTCAGAAGTTCAAAGCCCTCAAAATTTGTAAATATTGTGGTGCCCACCTGTCTTCTTTGCCTCCCAACAATTACCTACAGATGTCCTAGGTCTCCAACCCCTAGATATGCTGGTCTTTGCTGATGATAGCCTCCATCTTTTGCTAGCTTTCCAAAAGAATCTTTTTTTCCCAATAATATGTCCTGGAAATACTGGAATTTTTAAGCAACAAGTGACAAATGTTTTTTACATTATACTAAAGCATACAAACCAGAACACGGGCTGAGACACAGACATAAGTACTTTTAGCTACTGCATTGTGTGTTTGGAGGCAAGCACCCATACTTCTTCGTTTCTCAGCTGAGTCCCATGATTCTCTAAATTCTTACAAGGATTGGGTAAGACTGCCAAAGAAGGGAAGCGGTCCTCTTCTGATCCAGTTTGTCTTCAGAAAGTGGGAAGCCTATCATCTGTTAAACACAATGATTGTCATTTGTGAATCATGTGGAATTAACAGGAAGAACCAAAAATGTCAAACAACCAAACCGATACAGAAGGAAGCTCCTTTACCAGGCCTTGTTAGATGTGAAATTTCATGTTTGAAGAAATAACCTATGAAAAAATGAGATTGTATCTAGAAATATATGTAGTGTAAGAGGATACACATATCACATATATGACATATATTAGATATTATATAAATAGCACATCTATACTACATATAATTTATATAACACAAACACACAATAATTCTTCAGAGAAGGAGTGGTATTAAGTCTAGGGTAGTGTTGAGTGTACAGGGAGGGCACAAGCCCTGACCTATATCTTAGGTGTCTGTGGAAGCCAGAGTCAAGTCAACCCAATGGCTGAGTTTCATTGATGACCTCTGCAATTCCTTTGCAGGTAGAGCTGGGGAACCTTCTGTGTGTCTAGACCCTGTCCAAATGTCTGTACTGAGAAACTTGACCCTATTCCAGTACAGCTTCCAGGAGCTAAAGGCCAGTGCAGAGCCCTAGCATGACACTGGTCTCTCTTCAGTGCCTGGGAAAGCTCAGGAAACTCAACTGGACTTACTCTGTCTCTGGCCTGAACTTAGTGATAGGTGGATTGGCCCCTGAGCCTTCTCTTGTGATCACCAATCTTTTCTCTGTCCTTTGAGATACAGTTTCCTCAGCAACATTATTTTCTCAAGGGCTTCAGGGAAAATTTGCTTGCAACTCTTTAATCTTTTGAAAATGTGACCATTTGGGGAGGTAACTCCTGATCTCCTTTTGGGTCACCATGGAGAATGAAGACTTCACTTTGCTGAGGCCCATACTTCAACTTGCATCTTTGCGTCCTATTGTGATGAAAAGGGAATTTGTTCCTGGTAAGTGAGCATAAATTAAATTCAGTAACTAGAGACACTAACTCCCTGCTTACCACAGCATCTCTCGGAGCTTATCTCAGCCTGGAAATCTCCATACACATCAGGACTCTGAACTCACTGCAAAATTCTACGAAATAAGACACATCTTACTGGTTTAGTCAGTGTCTGAATTTTTCTTTGACGGAGGAAAGACCTCCATACTCCTTACCTTCCAGAAGCAATTTTAATTCATTCTGAAGTGATTTTATGGATCTCAACAATGAAGTACCAAGAACACTCATGGAAATCTATAGGCCCAATAGTTCAAGTCCAAGGTGGAAGCTACTGTGCTCCAGCCTGCTTCTCCTGAACTCCAGCTCCTTCTGTTCTCAAGATGTCCCTTATTACTCCATCTGCATCACTGTCTTCTCTACGGACCCTCCCAGCCTGGGAATTTTAGGATTCCTTAAGGAAAGATAGTGTCTATGGAGAGGGTTTTCTAGGTCTGTAGTTCCCAGAGGACAGTTGGGCCATTCTGGAGAATGTTTCCATGGAAGTATGGCAGTGTTGACAGTTTCTCTGGGCTAGTTGGAGACTGTGACTAGAAAGAACACATAGGAACAAAGGTGTGTTGTGTGAGTTGAGGCTGTATGGGTACTGCTAAGAGGTCTGTGTGTTCTCACCATTGGCATGCTCCAGCCAAACTCTTTTTTGGTGATGCCCACCATGTAGGGCACAGCGTTGAAGCTCTTCTCAGCCAGGATCTCTTCCGGTGTCTTTGGCAGCACCACTCCATCAGTCACGGTGGGAAGGAAAGGGTAGCTCTAGGGAAGAGAAAAATGCCATGTCTGTAATTACTCTTTCCCATGTAACATCAGACTCCACTTTCTACCTGTCTCAAAGCTTGGCCAGCACACAGACTCACGTGGCTCCCAGATGGGGCTAATGAATTGCTAAAAACAGGAATGTGCCCGAGGAACCAGAAACAATACTGGCAGAGAATGGGTACTGATCTTAAGCAAAGTATACAATATATACAACATATGTATATTATATATATGTGTGTATGTAACAAATTGTATGCAATTTTACGTATATACTTAAAATTGTACATGATTTTTAACTATAAATATATTATAATTTATAAATGATACACAATTTTGTGTGTGTATGTGTGTGGTTTAAGTGTTCCCTGTTGGAACACTTTGTCCCCAGTTGGTGGCACTGTTTAGGAAGCTTTAAAAGGTGTGGCCTTGCTGAAGGGAGTTATGTCAGTCACTGGGAGATCTGAAAGCTTAAAGCTCATTAACTTCTGGTTGGCACTGTCTACTTCATGCTTGCAGTTCAAGGTGTGAACTCTCAGCTTCAGGATCCTGCTGCCACACCTAGTGCTTGATGCTTCCACACCGCCATGACTTGGCATAGACACCAGAATCTCTTGCCTATGCTGTAGTTATACAGTGGCCACTACCAGGTCTCTGCCCCTCCCCTGCCCTTCCTCTGTTACCTATTTCCACATTGCAGTCAAAGAAATGTTTGCAAACTCAACACATCTCACTGCTCCATTCAGACCCTTCTGGATACCCGCCCCACCCCCACCCTCGTCATGCTGAATCACAACCCAAGTTTCTCAATAGCCAACCCAATCTCACTCTTCTTCCACCTCCCCAGACTCAAGTCTGTTTCTGTCCTGATTGCCTCTACTTCACATACACTATCCTGCAGCAGGCCTTTGCAGCTACAGGGGAATGTTTCTAGGCTTCAGATAGCTGACCTCATTTCCCCTCAGCATGGCTTAACTCTTCAAGCCATAACCCAAATCTGCCCTTCACACAAACTACTCGCCAACTCTCTCTCCTCTTCCACTTCCAAATACATAACACAATTTATCAATCTATTTTCCCCACTAGAAGAGAAGTTTCTAAGAGAGTAGAAAATCTTGTCTTTTTCACTGTCCTATCCCAGCTCCTAAACCTTCCTCCTACATAGTAAGAACAAGGATTCCCCTGGGAGGGGACAGAAAGGCCAAGACTGGAGATGCTACACACCTAATGTCACCAGATCCTGGTCAGTGTTAGGAAGAAGAAGGACAGGGGGAGAGGAGAGTTACCATGGGTGTATTCTGGATGCTGGGTGGGGGCAGTATCCTTATCACTGAGATTTTGGTCAGTCTCCCCTCTCATACACCAACCTTTTGTCGTCCAATGAGACTTGTGCTCCTCAGTGAGGGCTCCTGGACTATTACTGAGTCATCTCAGCTCTTTGAAAGGTCTACTTCATCCTTTTCCTACAGATCATTTTAGAAGCAGAAAACGTCCACTGGAGGGGAACAGGTGACTCTAGGGAATTCAGTTGCTGAGTAGAAGCACTGAACCTGGAATCAGGCTACCCTGGTTGCCCCTGGCTGCCAGGACTGTATTACCAAACAAGTGACTTTCCCTCTCTGGACCTGAGCAGAATACACATAAGAAACAGAAGAACTCTACAAAGGAGAGTTCTTTTCTTTCCTTTAATGGGTAGGACTCAACACTTGTAATACAGAAAGCAAAGGCCCTTACCTCTCTGGGGTCTCCAAGAAAATCAAGAACACCAAACTTCTGTGGAGAGAACATCAGAGAAAGAGGGTGAAGAACTTCCCTTAGACATAAGTAGATCCTTTGAGTTTTACCCTAAGATATTAAGTTCTTTCTCCTGATTCTTCCTTGGCAGGACTCAGAATTAGAAGACCCTATGCTGGAACCTCAGGGTCTGGGCATATGGTGAAACAGGATGGGAGCAGTTGCAGTAAAAAGACAGGACCTGGGGCCCACTCAGGCTCTCCAGAGCATAGAGAGGATGTCTGTGGCCTCTGCCTGTGCTCTCTGTCTCTTCGCCTCTCTCCTTCATCTGTTTTCTCCAACATGACACCCTGATGTCTCCCCTGGAGAGTAAAGTTATTAGTTCAAGGCAGTGGTAGGGGGCACACAGTGCCTATAATGAAGACTAGGCTGCAGCTGGGATGCACATCAGAGCAGCATTTCCCCTTCAACATCACCCCTACCTTTCTCCTTCCTCACCCCTGCCTCGGGAATGCAGGCAACTGTATATGACCCAGAACATTGTGTCTAGGAAATGCCTTGCCTGGATTAATGCAGTGGTGAAACTTCTCAGTTGGTTTTTCTGTCTCCTCTCTACACTCTGCCTCACAGAAATCAGAGATCTTGGTAAAAGATCAGGAAAACTGAGTATACCCTTAACATTACTGCTGAATTGTTTAGTACAGTTACCTCCCAAGCGTATAGAGTATTAGTCTAGAATTCTAAAACTTTTAACCTGCTAAGAAAGCAAACTAGTTTAGAGAGAAGCCCTCCCCATTTTCCCTCAAATAAGAATGGGGAGCTAAGGAATGGAGATAGGTACATCCCCCACAGTATACTCAGAGTGTCTGGATCCAGCCACATCCTAAGCCATTTGTTCCAGGACATTTTTATTATTTGAAAATTCTGTACAACGTATTTCTTTTTCTGTTCAAGGAACCTTAAAGACTGTTCTCATCTGAGATGAGAAAACCCCAAATCCTGCATGCTCATTGCAACGCATTGCATCCTGGGCATTTCTTTGTTGCCATCAGAAAAGTATTCAGTTTATGTCCTCATTGTCTCCCTTTTAGCTCCCTTCTGTATGGACCAAAAATAGATGGAGACACAGACATCAGATGGATGTACAGATGTAGCTGATCAATACAAGTACTGTTTATTTAGGTGGATTCACTAAAAATACAGATGAAAAGTAATAGGTAGATATAGAACAGACTATTGTTTTGGAGGTCTGGGTGAAGGCATGTAGGTAGAGATTGACTGAATGATTCATGGATAATGGGTAGATTGGAAAGGGATTAATTCAAAGTTTTAGATTCATCTCTACTGGATTGATGAAAAAAGTGATGAACAGGACTTGGTTATAAAGATGAATAGACTGTTGGCAGATGAATTGGTAGGTAGATTGATGGCAATCCTAGAACTTTAATTAAGTGAATACATTGGAAAAATGTAGAAAACTGGGCTACAGTATGCTGTGAGTTTATTTTCTACACCAGTTGTGACACTTTCCTTAAATGCCTTCTGTTGCATGTCTCATCCCCAAAACTCAGGTTGATAGTTATATGTGAATATAGGGAATGTTTTGTGTCTTAAAAAATCTGAAAATTATGATGTTAAGATAGTATATTTTTTATGAGTACATATTTTAATGCATCACCAGACACAGCAATGTATACCAGAAGAACTATGATGGCATTAACAAGAAAACCACAGTGACAGTAAACATGATCTGCACCACTTGTAAGGTGTCCGCAGCAATCCAACTACCCAGAAATAAATACACACCCCAACAGCCCCCACATACTACATAAAGGTTCTATGAGCAGGAAGTTATGAAATACACTGAGAGAATGAACATATCACACGCACACAAGTTCTCCTCATTTTACTCAGATCAAATTCTTGATCTATAACTACTTCAGGCCTACCACTTTACACAGGAAGACCCTAAACCAAACCATTGCAGGGATTTCTAACTGTAAAACCCACACACAAACAAATCATTATGGTGTTTTCCATTTAATTGCAGCAAATTCTCAGCTCTACCGACTTCCATTTATACTCGTGGTGAATGAGGATTATAAGGTGACAGGTGCTTCCAACGCCTTCCTATCTTACTTATGGGAGACTTGAAGACCACATATAGAGCATAAGGAGTCAGTTATTCCCAGTGAAAAAGTGCTCTTGACTCAAGACAAGTCCCCATGGACAGCCTCATCATTTGACTACTGCCACCTTCCAGAACCCTGACAGACATCTCACTGGTTTCATTGTAAACTGCACCCCTCTCAGAACCCGGCTCCAGGGTCAGTCAGCTTGGGATTCCTCACTGCCAAGCTCCTCACACAGTATGCCGTTTCTCAAAATATTATGTTTTGATAAAGCGGGGGGGGGGGGTTGTCATGTAATTTCTCATCATGTTATTATCAGACCTTTTGATATTTGAAGTATTTTATAACAATAACAGAATGAAAAAAATCTCAATTTAGATAGACAATTCTGAGAGGCAAGAAACTGTTTAAGGGGATATAAAGCCAGAGCATAGCTGAACAAATGAAACCTTGAGCCAGATATACAGGGTGGGGCTCCTAGGATGGAGACACCTACCATTTTCAGTGTGATTTCCAAGAGCTCATCCTCTGTCTTCTGACGAAGGCAGTGAACCATGGCAGCTGAGGTGGTGGTTTTACAGCCAGCAAGAGCAGCCACTTTCTGTAAGAGATCAGGGGTCAAGAGCGAATCTTTTCCCTCCCTCCATGCAGACTGTAGCTTCTTCCATTTCCTAATTTCTAAGGCAACAGATGGTTGCTGACAGTATTCTAGACCAGCAAATACAGGAGTTGAGTCCCAGGGTGTAACTCCTGTTACTGAGCAGAACAGGAACAGGACCTTGTTATACAATCTCTATGCCTCTGGTGCCTGATAAAATGGATACAATTTCTATTCCCAGAAACACAAGGAGGACTTAATGTTCTCAAAGTCAAGTGTGGCTGCAGAGGATGTTTGGATTTCACTATTTGGTTTCAGATCCCACATCTGACACATTGTTGTCTTAGATAAGTCATTCAGCCTCTTCATGTCTTGCTTTCTCCACCTACAAATGAGGGTGTTCATATATGCACAGGAGATGACCATGTCTCCTATATACTAAAATGTGGGCAGAATGGCTGGAGGCCTAGACAACACGTTACACATGAAGTGTAGTGTGTCCCTTAAAGCAGTAGCCCTTCCTGATCACTTGAGCACCTCAGCTGAATCCCACAGCAAGAAAGACTTTGAGGTCCCAGGAGAACAGAGTAAGGGGCACCGGAGCTGTCCAAGGTGATACATACCTTAGCTATGGGTCTGGCATCTCTCCCAAACAGGCAAGGATTCAGGACCACACTGCTCTGGGAAATGGCCCTGTGGAAGAGGCTCTTGGCCAGGGGAGACAACACCTTGGAGGAAGAGAGTTTATGCTCACAGGGGAAGTCAGTAACTCACTTGCCCTTAGGGCTCTGTTCACGCGCTCTTTTTTTTTAATTAACTTTTTTCTTCATTTATTTACACACTGGCCACAGTTTCCCTTCCCTCCTCTCCTCCTGTTCACACCCTCCCAACTCCAATCCAACCCCTCCCTACCCTCTCCTCCTCCATCTTCATTCAGAAAGGGTCAGGCCTCCCATGGGCTTGACCAAAGAATGGCACATCAAGTTGAGGTTAGGACCGAGCTCCTCGCCCTGCATCAGGGCTGGGTAAGGTAATTCAGCATGGGGAACAGGTTCCCAAAAGTCATCTAAGTACCAGGGGACAGGTTATGATCTCACTGCTAGGAACCTTACAAACAGACCAAGCTACACAACTGTCACACACATGCATATGGCCTAGGTTGGTCCCATTGAGGCTCCCATGTGCTCAGGTCGGCTGTCTCTGTGTGTTCTCCTATCACGTGCTCCTTTTAACCCAACCATTCACCTGGATTACCTGTTGTTCCATGGAGTTAGAAACACTTACAAGAACAGAGACACTGAAACCTCCTGCTGACTCTCCAAAGATCGTCACAGAACCCGGGTTGCCCCCAAAGCTGGCAATATTGTCCTGGATCCAGCGCAGTGCAGCCACCTGGTCCAAGTGACCCCAGTTCCCCCGGCTGTGTTCATCCCCTGTGCTGTGGGACAATGGTGAGTTGGAGCAGAGATGCCATGACTGTGCTCTAAACACCAGAGATAAACTAGGGCTTTTAGTAAGTTCTCTGAAATAATACTGGGCTCCACATTACCTACATGAGCACTCACCTGCCACTCATCCCTACAACAATGCTCTGTGGTGGTCCCTACACTCATCATCCAGGTACTTTATACTCAGGAGCCACCCACCATGCACACAACTTGGGTCTAAATGCTAGGGCTCATCTGAAAACAAACAGATGAAATCTCTAACTACAGTTGGCTCCTGCTGAAGTCCATAGACCAACAGAAGAAATGAACATAGGAAAAGCTAGTGAAAAAAAATAAAATTAGATCTGAAGGGAAAAGGGGTGGCAGGGTGGGACTGTAGCATGGTATTTCAGATTGCACAGCCAGAGAAGACCTCATTAGGCAGTGGCATTTAGTAGAGATCTGAATAAAATGAGCATGTGGGTCTTGCAAGTATAAGAAGATGGAGCTGCAGTAGGAGAAGCATAGTTACAAGGCCCCAGGGCCACAGGAACAGAAGTGAGTGTAGCTGGTGTGAGATGCAGGTGGAACGGGCACTATGGGCATTGACAAAGACTTGTGTATCATTCTAAGTAACAGGAAAATGTGGTGATATTGTGTTCCCCAATATATTGTGCACCCTAATAAATTTATCTGGGGTCAGAGAACAGAACAGCCACTAGACAGACATAGAGGCCAGAAAATGGTGGCACTCACACCTTTAATCCTAGCCTTCTGGAGGCAGAGATCCATCCAGATCTCTGTGAGTTCAAAGCCACACTGGAAACAGCCAGGCATGGTGACTCATGCCTTTAATCCCAGGAAGTAATGGCAGAAAGCAGTATATAAGGCATGAAAACCAGGAACTAGAGCTGGTTAAGCTTTTAGGCTTTTGAGCATATTTCAGCTGAGAGGCTTCCAGTCTGAGGAAACAGGATCAGCTGAGGAATTGGCATGGTGAGGTGGCTGTGGCTTGTTCTGCTTCTCTGATCTTCCAGCATTCACCCCAATACCCAGCTCCAGGTTTGTTTTTATTAACAAGACCTTCTAAGATTCATGCTACAGGAAAACATTGTGTAGAGGAATGACAGGACTTAATATGTCTTACAGAGCATGCTGGGCCCTGTGCAGAACAGCTATAGTATTCAAATAGTAGATCTATAACAGTAGATGGTTATAACAATAACAGTCTAGACACATGGGACTTTGACTAGGGTTGGAGCAAGGACTTGTGTATTGATCATTTGGGTTTGCAAATGGTTTGCCCACCAAAGGTTCAGTTCCCATGTCCTGGTCTATGTTGTAGCATTAGTAGGCAGTGAAGGGACCTATGGAATTTGAGATTCAGTGAAAGGTTATTTGGTCACTGCAGATGCAGCCCTGGAAAGGAATTAATACAGTTCTCTTGTGACCCTGATTGTTCCCCAGAGAATGAGTTAATTTTTAAAGGAACCTCACTCCCTTCTTTGTGATACTTGTCCCACCATGTGATCTGTCTGCATGCTTAGCTTCCATTGTTATTTATGTACCATGCTGTGACACAGCCAAAGTCTCCCGACAATGGCTCATTTGTTGAAATCGCACAATCTTGAACTTACAGCATCTCAAATTCAAAGCTAAGTACATTAGAATTCTATGTAATCACACATCCCATGCTTTTTTTTTTTTACAGTAACAGAAAAGAGACTGATATAGGGACTGATGTGTAGGTAAGAATGTCGGTAGCTCACCTGAAGAAGCCCCAGATGCCCAGGCGATACTGAATGGTCACTACAACCACATTTTCATGAGCTGAGAGGGGCAGTCCATCATAGGTGGATGCCCCATCCACCAGTCCACCTCCATGGATCCACACCATCACCTGGACAAGGAGAATATAACTACATAAGTCATGGGGAGCAAAATGGGGAGGACCATAGAGTTCATTCAGTGTTGATAGTGATGTTGAAGCTGTGACTGAGGAGGGCATCAACCAAGACACATCAGTACCCATCACACAGCCACAAGAACTCTTCTCTCCATTCTAGTTTAGGCCCAGTTCAACTCTTTGGCCTACAAAAGGCTGCTTACCCCATCATTATACATACATAGTGAGGTGGGAGCAAGATGTGGAAGAGGATCCCAGAGGATTTCAAGGGGCGAGTGGGTATGAATACAATCAAAATACATTGTATCATGCATGAAATTCCCAAACAATAATCAATAGACATTTTAAAAGGGATCACATGAAAGGTGTTTTGAGACTTAAGAAAAATGCATGATCTGCATTACATTACACATCGTACAAAGAGCTCATGTTTCTGTATCAGAAAGCATGGGACTTTGTGATGTACACAGTTCCTTACATTATACAAACTACAGGAAAGAAGCCTCATGACTCGTGTTGTAGAAATTACTCAAATATCTCTATGCATTTTATGCTTTAGCAAAAATTTTACTTTTTTTTACCTGAATATCAACACTCCTTTTGAGTAAAAAAAAAAAAAAAAAAAAAAAAAAAATCTTAATTTTCTCACTCACACCATGCTGTGAAGAGAATCTTCATGATTAGACTGCTGTTTCTAGCTGTGCAATTATTTGGAACATACTATTTTTGTTTATAGGCTCATTTTATTCCAAAGTTTGTATATGTGTAAAGAGTAGTGTTGTGTGGGTAAGCATGGGTGCCTAGAGAGGGAATTAGAGGCCTTTGTGAACCTCCTGACATGGATGCTGGGCACTGGATTCATTTCTGGAAGAACAGTACATACTCTGAACTGCTCAGCCATCTCTCCTGCCTCAGTTGGGTGATTCTTATAAGGCAATGAAATAGCATGAAATTTTAGTCATGCACCATGAAGGAACAGGGAGCTAGAATATGACAGCTCATGGAAAGGAAAGTCTCACCTCAGATACACACTGTTGAAAGTCTGTGGTGCCACAGAAGTCTTAAGTGAACTGTTCTTGCTTATTCATAGAATCCTATAGTTAAAAACTATTGAAGGTCACAGACATTGTCACCAGGTCATCAGTACCAGGAATGAAAGTTAGAGAGCTGAAAACAGCTTCTCCAAGGCTACCCAGCCATCTGGAGACAGAGGAAAATGAAATCACCCTCCAATCACAAACACCTATTACCTATTCAGTGTTTGTGTCTTTGTTCAGTTATCTAATGTAGTCTGTCCTTTCTTCAAACACCAGAATTCGATAGCAGGGTCTAAGGAGATTCAAATGTTAAATACAATGACTGTTGGTCTTCCAATTATGAATAACAGGGAACAAAATTTCACCACGCATGGAGATCATGTGGAGAGCTTGTAAACTGCAGTTCCAATTTCAGGAGTTCTGGGGAAGAGTGGCACTCTTCATTTCTATGATGCCTCCAGGAATGGACACTGGTGTGACACATCTATAAATCTTCTGATTATCAAAGAACAATATGGTGTTTCTGGAACATCTCTAGACCAAGGGGTTGTGTGTTGTTGGCAAGACAGGACCAGAAGGGATGGTCCAGCTTGTCTTGGTATTCTCCAGCAGGGGTATGTGTCTATATTCAAATGTATAGACATTGACGTGTATGTCTATGTCAAATGTATACACATGGAGGTCAGTGGTCAGCCTTAGGCCCTGTCTCTAGGCACCCTCCTCATCGTTGTTTGAAGCAGGGTCCCTTCAGTGGGACTTTGGACTCAGCACCTCTGCTGGGCTGATGACCTCTGGGATCTAGGGACCCTTCCATCTCCTTTCCCTGCCCAGAGATTACAAGTATGCACAACCATGTCTTCTTTCTGCTGGGTGCTGGGAATCAAACTCAGGTCCTCAAGTACTTCTCAGACTGCACTAGCTTCCTGTCCCCTCAAATTTCAAAACATTTCATTCCCACAGTCCTCCTAGGAATCATTTGTGCATATTAAAATGCATGTTATTTTATAACCCAACTAAATAACCTTTCTTCTATGAAAACTACTTCAAAACTAATGAAAAAATTGCATTTTGTTTCTAATATAGCATTCGTGTTAGTCTGACTGTCATTATGGTCATTATGAATCATTTCTTAATTGTCATATTTATCAAATTGCAAATTCTAGAAAATCAAAGAAATTTCTCTTGTTTGCACACTAGCAGTATCTACCGAATTCCCCTGTGTATTGGGACTATACTGAACACATTAAATTAAATCTGTTTATATTTTTAAAAGGTATCATTCAATTTTCTCTTTACATGCAGCTTTGAGTCTCATGAAAATTAGTCTATACCTACTCTGGGAATCAAATTCTTACCATAATAATTCAGAGTAGTCATTTTACTAGTCATATTACTTTTAGTGTGAGAGAGCTTGGAAGATTAAGATAAGCATCTCAGATGCAAGGCAGCCTCCACCAAAGTCTGACATCCTTGGGCCTGCGACTCTGGCCTTGTCTGTGGTACTCCTGCCCGCAGCTTCCCTCATCCCATCCCAGTGTCACAGAAGAGCCCGATGCTGAAACCTGCAAGTCTGGCCTGTGGTCCCCATGCTTACCGGCAGCCTGCTGCGCTTTGTTAGATCAGCAGGAGTGTAAATATTTAGGTAGAGACAGTCTTCAGAAAACTGGAGAGGAATGCTCTCCTTTCTGTTGGTGAAGAGCTCTGAGAGCATCTGCCCTGCCACTGGGTCTTGGGAGCACCTGGGAAGGAGAGACAGCACCCAAGTTATAGCAGATCGAAGCTGGATATGTTATCAGAGGCCCAAAATTGCTTGCTTTGTGAATTTGAGCTTTCTAGTGGAGAATCAGTGCCTAAGACAGTCTCTGTGGCTCCTGAAGGTAACCCCATGGTTCTATAAATGCCTCCTAACTTTGAACAGGGAGAACGAGTTGGCACTTCTTCCTATCTCAGAGCTTGAAGATGTTCTGGACACAGGAATGATGTGCTTATATGCCTGACTTCCCTAAGAGAAGAGAGTTCCTGCAGTGTCTAGACAGAATTCTTCCCTTATCTAGGCTTTGTAGAATGACCTGCAGGGTGTCCATGCTCTTCAATCAGGTAAACACTCTCTGGTCTTTAATACACTTCCATCAAGCAGAAGAACAGAGTGACCCAGGTGTCCCCTGACGCAGTGGGAAGAGTACAGCCAGCACAGATAACTTTCACATCTCCATCCTGGGAAAGTTTCCCAAGACCACCAAGAACACTATTCATCAGAACAGAAAGAAAAATTCAGAGTTGAAAATGGGTACAGAGATCAACTTCACTGGTATTTAGAGACATGCAAAGTCACAATTTTTATTGTTGTGATTGTTACTGTGTTTGTTCAATAGACAAAAATCATTCTTTCAGAAAATTTAATATTTGATAATGGTCTACTGGATGGCTTTTTTCATATTTATTTGTAAAGAAATACACACACACACATATGGGAATTTCTAGAAGTAAATGTAATGAAAATTACGTAAATGTTATTTCTTAGAACTTGTCCTAGGACATTCATGATTGTGCGTAATGATTTATCTAATATATATATATATATATATATATATATATATATATATATATATATATATATATATATATATATATATATATTGGTTTTTTGAAACAGGGTTTCTTTGTGTAGCTTTGTGCCTTTCCTGGATCTCGCTCTGTAGACCAGGCTGGCCTCGAACTCACAAAGATCTGCCTGCCTCTGCCTCCCGAGTGCTGAGATTAAAGGCATGCACCACCACTGCCTGGCTTATCTATTATATTTTTATTACAGCACCCTTTATGATGTTGAGATTAAAAAAATAACTCAATATCCCCAAATAAGACACTGGATCAGTAAGTTACACTTATATGCCCAATTAAATACAACTATTAATAAACTTTAGGTTCATAGTCAATTGTATAGGGTGGCATTGTATATATGATCCATTTTAAAGTGAAAGATATGCAACAGATAAAAACTGGACATGAGTCAAAGTGAACAGCTAGTCTAACTATTTAATTGTACATGATTTCAATTTTTGCCTTTGTTTCCCTGGGCTTTTCTGAAATATGTACATATTTTTTACATTTGCAATAAGAATATAAAAAGAGCAAATATTTTAAAAAGAGAAGCAAGGGAAGGTAAGAAGACATCTAGAGATAGGATCTTAGCTCCTCGGAAGCATTGTTAAGGAGGCGATAGCTGAATTGACACTTGTAGGTAGCTTGGGTGCCCTGGAGGTGGCTCCGGGACCATCTGCATCCTTTAGGCTTCTATGCTGTACTGACTGGGCTGACAGAGTCAATCAGACATTGCTCAGGTTGTGTCCTAGAAACTAGACACTTATTTGTTATATCCTTATGCACTCTACTCCCAAGCAATGCCATGGTTCAAGATGGGAGAATTATTAACATGAGGAAGTATTTCCCCTGCCTGATACAGTGGGCATTTATAAAATATTTAGCACACTTTATAATTATCTACAATTGTTTTGTTAATTTATATTCAATGCCCACTAGAGTAGGAATCTTTTTTTTTTTTTATCTGTAATGGGGTTTTAGAACCTAGATTATATCTCACTCTCTAAGAATCTGCCAAATAAAGGGATCTAGGAGACTGACAGCATCAGAAAGCTAAGCTTAGAGGTACTAGTGTTCTTAAGGATGCCATGAGAAAGTACAGTCAAAGAACCTCCAAAGAAGTTGAGTTCATATAGGAAACAAAGAACCTCCAAAGATGCCATTGATTGAGATCTTATATACACACAGGTCCTGTAAGGTAAATAGATAGATAGATAGATAGATAGATAGATAGTTAGATAGATAGATAGATACATAGATACATAGATAGATACATAGATACATAGATACATAGATAGATAGAGACAGAGAACCTCCAAAGATGCCATTGAGTCCATTTGCTGTTGACCATCTACTACCGTGCCTGGGGCCTACCCTTAAGACTGGTTTGTTTCCCCAATGAGACTCTTTTGGAGAAAACTAAATTTTCATTTGTAAATAGTTATTAATTGGAGATAGTTTCTGGGTTAGGGATGGAGGTGTGTGTCCACCTCTTCTCTCATCTCTAGGACCCCATCTGATGAAGATCTGTGTGGGCCCTGTTCATGCTGCCACACCTCTCAGCTCTAGGACCCCATCTAGTGCAGACCTGTGTGGGCCCTGTTCATGCTGCCACACCGCTCAGCTCTAGGACCCCATCTAGTGCAGACCTATGTGGGCCCTGTTCATGCTGCCACACCTCTCAGCTCTAGGACCCCATCTGGTGCAGATCTGTGTGGGCCCTGTTCATGCTGCCACACCTCTCAGCTCTAGGACCCCATCCGGTGCACACCTGTGTGGGCCCTGTTCATGCTGCCACAATCTGGGTGACTTCATAGGTGTGTCAGTTGTTCTGTGGTAAAAGCCTGGTTTCCTTGGTGTCCTCCATCTCCTCTAGCTCTTACATTCTTTCCACTTTTCCTTCCACAAATACCCTAAGCCCTGAGGGGAGGGTTTTTATGGAGACATCCCATTTCAGGCTGAGTGTTCCATGGTCGCTCACTCTCTGCATGTCTGGCTGTGGGTCTCTATATTTGTTCTCATCTGCTGCAGTGGGAAGCTTCTCTGGTGATGGCTGAGCAAGGCACTGAACTATGAGTCTAGCAGAATGTCATTAGGAGTCATTTTGTTGCTACATTCCGTTTGTAGACCAGTAGTATTTGGTTTTACCCTAAATCCCTGGGATGTCTAGTATTTGGTTCTTGGACACCCAAGCAGTGTGGGTTATGGGTTCCATCTTACGGAATGGGCCTTAAATCAAATCAGAGCTGGTTAGCCACTCCCAAAAGCTTCCTGCCACTTTAACACCAAAATGTCCTGCAGGCCAATCACTACTGTAGATGGAAGGGTGTGTAGCTGGGTTGGTGTTTACTTTTCTCCTTTGAGAGTGTGCAGAATATCTTCCAGTACCAGGAACATTAGTCAGAAGGGGTGAGGGCTCTATGTAGGCACCAGCTCAACTTCTCTATGTCCTGTGAGTTATGTGGGCATTGTCTTCAGCAATAGTGCGGTACTGTTTGTTTGTGGAGAACAACAAATAGCCTGGGTTGCTTTGCAGTTCACACAGAGCCCCTCTAGACAACAACTCACATAGATGTAACCTTCCTGGAACTGGAGTCTTCATTGGGTTATGAGAGATGTCTAGTTGGGGCTCTGTCCTTCCTGTTATTTGGCCTTTATATATGTATCTATTTTAAGAAGCTTCTGCTCTATTAGGTTTCCATACTGCTCCTCAAATGGAGTCATATTATGGTTTCCAGTTTTGTTTGTGTGGATTTCCCGCACGTGTGAACATGTGTGTCTCTTTACAGGTGTTACTCAGGCTTTTTCTTTGCTTTTTTTCTTCTGTTTGTTTGTTTCATCCTGTTCAGTTTGTTTCTATTTTATTTCGCTGTACTTTATTCCTTAGATGTCAGTTTGTTTTCTAACAAGAGACAGAAAGGGTATGCAGCCAGTAGAAAGGGGAGGTAAGGGGGAACTGGGAGGAATGGGGGAAATAAATAGAATAGGGAAAACCATAATCAGAATATAGTATATAAAAATCTATTTTCAGTAATAGGAAAAATGATTAAATTAAAATTTAAAAAGAAAGTATAGCCAGTCAGAAGATCCCTTTGACTCATTCCCGTACCACACTGAGACAGACATCTTCACTTAAAGAGACCCAGGCCCACCCCAGCGGCTTACATAGGAGGGTAGGAGGTGGCATTCTTCACGAAGCTCCAGGGCTCTGCAGGCTGTGGAGGAGCAAACCTCAGGGATCCAAGAGGAGGCTTGGCAAAGGGGACTCCCAGGAAGACAGCCACAGGCTGTGGGAATCCTTCTAAGATGACATACTTCCCCAGGACTTTGCCATGAGCAGTGTCCACCACGGGTGGTGAGGATGGGTGCCCTGGTGTACATGGAGAAGAAAAAGAACACATCAGAGACACCAAGACAATACCTGCATTCCAGATAGGCTTTGTCACTTTCTAGGCATGTGACCTTGAGTAAGTTACTTCAATCCTATAAAATTCCACTTAACTTCATGTAAAATAAGGATACAGACAATTTTTTCCTAACAGGGAAAGGATAGATGAGAGAGACTGGATTTGTCGTATAAAAGCATCCAGCCAAATTCATTGGAAAAACTGGAAATGAACCGGAACTTTGTTTTCTGTCTTAGAAACCTGTGGAAACATTCACTTATGAGGATCTCAGTGCTGAGCTGCTTGCTGGGTGAGAGGATTAATAGAGGTTAGCCATCAGTTTTGGGGAGTGGGGAGGTCAGAGAGATAGGAACAACAGTCAACCTTCACCTAATTCTGGTAAAAAAAAAAAAAAAAAAAAAAAGAAAAAGAAAAAGAAAAAGGTTGTGACCTAGCACTCAGCCGCAGCTGTATTCAGATCAACCTTGGTGAGTGGCAGTCCATGTTGTTGAGCCCATGTATAACCCCCATCTCAGCCACCATGGCCACTTTGATCATGAGCTCATTGGTCAATGACAGGAATGGCCGAGGAAAAAAGCTGACTGTCCACAGAGTGGGTCATCGAGTCTACTTGATTTCTGAACTCCACCTCAGCTGAAGTCACCTTTTGCTGAGTATTTACATGGGACACAAGTATCTTCACATCTTTTGCCCATTTGGAGAGATCTATCCACGTACTGGATACCCATTTTTGTACTGACAGCAGTTAATGGGACCTAGTGGAACTATTTTTTTTAAATCTTTTTCTCAGATGAGACTGGGAAGAAAAATGTTTAGGGTAATAGGAGAGAAATTGGAAGAGAAGGGATAGGCAATGGAGTCTACCTAAATGCATTATATGCATGTATGAAATTCTCAATAAAATATAAGGGCCAGGAGGCCTCAACCCTACACAAAGAACTACAGAAAACTAAGGAATGTTAAGGGGGAGCGAATAGTTTTCCCAAGGGACAGGCACATCGATTAGTTATCAAATATCAAATGGTCAGCTCTAAAAACATACACACAAGTAATATTATACAGACTGATCTGGTTGTGCTTATATATGTAGGAGTGTGTGTATGTATGTGTGTAACAACAATTAACAAAAAAAGAGACTATGAATTTGAAAAAGAACAAGGACAGTTATATAGGTGATAGAGTGTGGTTTCAGGGAGGAAAGGGAAGGGAGAAATTTTGTAATAATTATAATCTCAAGAAATACAAGAAATATTTTTAAATGAAAAAAAATGGAACATGTCCACGCCTTGGTTTACTAATAACAAACCTCATGCTTTTTCCCTTTGCTTTTAGGTCACCAGTCCTACTGAGATGTCTTTCCTGCCAAGTATGTGTGTTAAAATGTCTATAGGAAGTAGCATTACTATTTTGTGTGAATCCAAAACATCTATACTAGAATGCTATTGTATAATTAGGGGAAAGAATTATGAAGAAATCTGGAGGCATTTCAATACTGGAAGGTGGTCAGTGACAGGCATGTAGTTATTCATCTGAAAATGAGAGAACACATCATGAATGTATGTACACTAGGGGACCAGTGTGGAAAAAAGAGAGAGATTAAAAACAGGAAAAAGCTAATGTGAGATTGAGAACCATAGCAGGAGAGGAAAGGACACGGCATTAGAGAAGCCAGGGAGAAGGGGAGAGAGGGTGCCCAGAGTTCTGATAAGGAGGGTAAAGTCTGAGCGGAAATCACTAGGTGTGGCCTATGTTAACTCAAGATCATTTGCCATGCAATTGAGGTGTGTAGAAACTAGATTGTCCCGAGTAGAAAAGCGGACATATGAGACAGGAGGCATGAACGGGGCTGCAGAAGCTGCCAATTATGTAATGTGGGTATGCATATATTGACCACCTAGTATATGACATATGCATTCCAAATCTTTTACAGTCTTCCTCCCCAAAGCCTTGATAGGTAGGGGCTATCAAAGCCATGCTCTAGATGCGGAATCAGGAATTGCAAGCAGCCTGGATGAACTTCCTGAAGATGGAAATGAGGTGGTCATTGCCAGGAAAAACAGCAGCACAGGAATGTTCGACTCCAAATTTGAATCCTTTCTCATTCTGCTTCACACTCTGCTCCCAGTCTCTCAAAATGTCACACAGCCAGAGAGAAGAGAAAGTCTAGGCATGTCAGTACTGCCACTGCCCTTAATGGGGAAGCACCATGGTAGATTCTGCAGCTAGAGACAGAGCTGGGTATGACTCCAGAAGACCTTGGGCTGGTGCATTCCCCCTGGAAAATTCAGTCCCCCTCCGTGAAATGGCACAGATGGGTGCCAAAGCCCCACATTGGACCCCTGAACTGACTGTGAATGTGATTTCTATACCTGTTGCTTTGACATTTGAAGCTCTGATTATTGGGGTGAACGACACACTCTTGGAGTCCAACCACTCCAGAGCTCACTCTAGACACACGCTCATCTCGGTCTCCTACCCTGGGCTACCACTGACCTGTCTTGATCACTTGAAACTATGTACCAGAAAACCAGACACAGCCTTTACATCCCAAAACCCTCTTAAATCACCCTAATTAGCCAAGCCTACACCACTCTTCTCTGCTTCCTTTCTTTTTTCTAGGGTAAAGCATGACAAAGACCTTTGCCTCAAGTTTCCACTCCTCTTCAACCTTCTAACTGACCCCAGTGCTTTCCTCCCATTCCACCACATTGGTGTACCCCTTCTCTCAGTGATAAAGCATGTTTTCAATGGCCAGCTGCTGCTGGTATGATTTTCCATGTCAAATTATCTATTAACACACTGCATTTTAAACCAGCCCTTTTCTACATCTCCTCTAGAGCAGGCTACATCCTGGGCTGCTATGGGCACAAGCACTCATTTCACTTTCATGCAGTTAAAGGAGGAAGATGTTGTTGGCATCTCTATTTTAGAAACAGAGCAGTCTGGGCACTACAAAATGCAATACCTTACCCAAGAACTCACAGCTCCAGACACAGAGCTAAGATGCACCCCTGCATTTTGCTACTACTGTTTATGTTTTCAATATTTTGGTTAGCCATTTCTCCATGCCCAGTGAGACCTAGACTAAGAGTAGCAGGGAAATTACTAACTCCTCCTGCAGAGGCAGGAGGTTATCTATGTCCTCCTCTGGCTCTGATCTGGAGTTGAGGGTCTTAGAAAGTTTGTGCCCCTCTGTCTGTAGGAGACTTAAACAGAACAGATGAACACCTTAGAGAAGCTAGGGATGTTTTGTCATTCTCCACACGCATCTTCATAAACCTGTACCCAAGACGAAGAATTTCAAATATGCACCACGTACCTTCATCCAAGAGTACTCACCCTGAGTCACGCAAGCAGTAAGAGAGATCAGGACCAAAGCACAGAGCCACATCGTGGAAGGGCAGTGAATCTGGGGTACAGTGAGGTGTCTGGTGCTTGGAGGGAATGCCCTGATCCTGCCCCACAGCTATACACCAATCACTGAAATCCTGCCCACTCAGCCAATTTGCATAAGACAACCAGATGAAAATCCCTGACCAAGAGTTCTGGGTGTCTAGTGGGACCTCTAAGCCACGCCCACCTAGAGTTTACTCTCTCTTGTTTGCACAGTCATTGCCCAACTCTCAGATAACAGAGGCCCAAAGACTTCTTTCATAAGGTTTCTCTCTGTGACATTCAAACCTCAAGTGTTCTGTGAGCCTCCTAGAGGCAGAGACTAGCATAGCAGGCAGGTGCCTTCAGGCAGTGGGGAGCTTTGATCTGGCATCCCCAGAAAAGGATGGGAGATTTTAGAACAACTCAAGGCCTCCAAAAATCTCAGCTCCAAGATAAATGGTTTCACCTTCCTGAGCCTGTGTTTCCTAGAGTTCTAACGTCTTATGCTTGGAAGCAATCTCAAACACGATCTCATCTCCTTTATTGTCTGAATTGCCTTTATCATTCCTGCCAAGAGCTCCTGTGTAGCACACCATCTTGTGAGAGAATGCACTACCTTGTAGAGAAGGCATTTGGGGATGGACTGCTTCCACAGTGAACTAACTCCATCCCTACATATTCTAATCACTGTCGATCCAATTGTCTGTCTGTTCATTCTTAAGCATGTGCTAAAATGTCTGGCATTTCCTTCCACAGACATTTCCTTCCACAGGAAAGACACTGGGAAAGCAAAAACTACACCTAGCTGCTGATGTATGTTTATGATGATGTAGGTTTATGATGCTCATAATCATAAACCTGTGAGTGTACTCTTCTTGGGTGGAAGATTGAACCTTTTCCCCTTCCCACAGGTAGCAGTGAAAACAAATCAAGAAACACAGCATTGTTTCTAATGCTCTGACTGTTAAACACAAGTTTCTTGCTAAGAGTTCTACAATGTCTTTTGAAGGATTGTTTTCAAGTGATGGGTTTCATTAAGGCATTTTCTTAGGTGTGTCATTAGAGTTTTTTCTTATTCCCCTGCACACTCTGTACCTCTTGCCCCACCCCATCATTCTTGCTACTTTTCTTGTTTTTCCCAGCTAGTTCCCTTCTCTGCTTTCATACCACATGTATTGAATCATCCTGCCTCCCTGAAGGTCTCTTCATTAGTCAGTGTGCTGTTTCGCCACAAATTAGCAACAAATCTACCATATGACCTTTGGATATATAAATTCCTGTATAGCCAAAATATTCTATTTTCTACTATAGAGACACATCTTCATTCATGTTCATAGTTGCTTTATTCACAATAGCTGGGATGTGGAAACAGCTTATATGCCCATCAGTTGATGAGTAGATCATGAAAATGTGGTACTTATATACAATGGAATTTAATTCAGCTATAAAAAATAAAATTACAAATTTTTCAGGTAAATGAATGGAGCAGGAAATAATCATTCTGAGTGAGGTAACCCAGATTCAGAAAGATAAATGTCACATGTTGTCACTCATATGTATATCTTAGTGTCAACATTTTAGATTTCTGTGTTTAACTTGAACTACTTATAGAATTCAGAAAACTAGAAAAGTACCATTGGTGGGAGAGAGAAGGAAGATCTTAATGGGAGAGGAGATATTAAAACATAGGTAAAATGGATTGGGGAAGAGGGACAATGGGGAGATTAAGTGGGAAGAAGGATGAGAGGATAGGGTAGAGGAAGGATTGGGAGTAGGGCCAATTAATACCAAAGATTTTTGAAAAAGTAGAATAAATATTTTATGAGCATATATTCATATAAAATATATTAATTGGAGTTACCCTACATAGAGAATAGTACTCCTCCCAGAAACAATAAGTAACCAAATAAAAACCCAGTACCCAGTAAGAGATTCCTCCACTCAAGTTGTTAGTCAAGAGTGTCTGGGAGAACCCCCAAAACAGTAAAGGCTCTTGCCACTGCTCTGATAGCCCAACATAAATTTACAGTGAGACCCTGAAGCTGAAGACACTAAATCCTTTGGTCAAAAGGCATAGAGAAATCAAGTTGGTACTAAGCAGGAAGCTTCCCCTTTACTGGCTTGTGTTCATGGTACTAGAAAGGTGGTGGGTAGGCAGCTGGGATGGGGGATTCAATGAACAGTCTTATCCAGTTGTGAACTTTGTGAACTATAGTAATGACTCATAGATTCAATAGTGGCACAAATGTTATAGGCGTTACCAACTGCTTTCTAATTGGATTTAATGTCTGCTTCACAGGAGGAAACTTATACCTGATACTCCAAATATGACCAAGAACTCATGATTGGGGAGCTCATAGGCCCCAAGGGTGAACCTATTTGTGGTGGTTTGAAAGAAAATGTCCCCCAAAGGGAGTGGCACTATTAGGAGGTGTGGCCTTGTTGGAGGAAATGTGTCACTGTGGGGGCAGGCTTTAAGGTCTCTTTTTCTCAAGCTTCCCTCAGTGTGACAGGCAGTCAACTTCCTGTTGCTTGCAATCTTTAGCACTCTCAGCTCCAGCACCACATCTGCCTACATGCTATCATGTTCCCCTTCATGGTCATAATGGACTGAACCTCTGAAACTGTAAGCGAGCTACCTTCAATTAATTGTTTTGCTTTGTAAGAGTTGCCATGGCCATGATGTCTCCTCACAGCAATGGTAAACCCTAACTAAGACACTATTACTGCTGGAGGGTTGGCACATGCCTTTAATCCTAGCACTGAGGAGGCAGAGGCAGAGGCAGATAGATCTCTGAGTTCTAGGCCAGCCTGGTCTACACAGAGAGAGAGTTCCAGGACAGCCAGGGATACACAGAGAAACCCTGTCTCAAAAAAAGGACACAATTACAATTATCTGATAAATGGAAGTAATATCAAACTGTCTTCTAAATTTGTATCTTTTCTTTGAGGGTTGTTCATTTTTATTTTGTGTATATGTTTTTTTGTTTGTTTGTTTGTTTTGTTTTTTTGCCTGAATGAATTTCTGTGCATCACAGGTCTGCAGTACCTGTGGAGGCCAGAAGAGGACCTGAATTCTCTGGAACTAAAGTTACAGTGTTTTGTCACTATGTGGTTGCTGGGAACTGAATACAGGTTCTTTTCAAGATCAACAAGTGCAATGTACAGAGAGCATGTGTCAGGTGGGGTGCTCAGGCACAAATGGGGCATCTGTATCACCCTTTTTTCCCACAGCTCAGAGAACACTGTGGAAGAAGGAGAGGAAGGATTGTAGAGCTAGAGTTCAGGGAGAACTGGAGCAAAACCACGTCTTCTTGCCATGACAGGACCAAGGCACTCAAGATCTCACAGTAGCTGTACTTGCCTGTACAACACCAAAGCCAGTCAACGTTCTAGCATGGGGGGAGGAGTCATGGGCCCCCACCACTAGCTTTGACCCTTTTGACAGTGTTTGAGTGCTAGAGTAGGAAGAGTCTGTTTCTTTAAGGGTGTGGCCACTGGTAGGTTGACTCTATTCCAGTGGATGGCCCCACAACCAGTATGGAACCCAAACCTATAATAGCCTCCTTGATGGCAGGTACTCCTGTGCTCTATGCTTTGCTTATAGGTTCCTCCAAGGAGTTCTGGGAAGTTTTTATGCCTTTGAGCGGTGGTGGCTTCATCCTGCTATGAACATCCAAAGAATATTCTGGGAAAGAGGGCTGTCAGTCACAGATGATGTCCCATGCCTCCCTTGCAGGTATGCCTGGTAACATACGGAAGAAATTACTGTTGTAAGCTCCATAACCATGCCAGAAGATAGCGTTTTCTGGGATGTTTTATTTACTTCCATTTGGTATAAGAAGAAACTGGAAAGAGGTTTTAGACTAGGTCTTACAAGGAATCCTCTGTGACCTCAGTCACTTTCTCCACTAGACTTCTGAAAGTAAACTAGATCTGACCCCGCGGACAGACTGTTCCAAACAGGCAATAAAACCTACATACCAAATTGAAAACTAATAGATTTTTCTAGATGTAAAAGGGCCCATATTTCACTTTTGAAATGTGGAGAATTGATCAGAATCTGAACTGTGGACATTTTTAATATAATAATGAATGTGAATAGAGTACAGTGCAGTGGACCCAGGCTTCCAAAATAGATCCACCCTCCCTTTCTTTCTTTTTCTTTAATTAAAAATAGGTTATTTTCATGCAATGTACTCTGATTATGGTTTCCTCCTCACACCCCCCAGTACTCCCAATTCCTCCCTAACTATGGGAGGGTAGAATTTTCAAGCTCTTCTCTTCATTTGCAACATTTTTTGAACAAAGCTATAATGAAAAATATGCTCCCCCCTTTTTTCGCTTTCTCCAGTGGGTACAGAATTCTGTTTATTCATGAACATGAACCTGTGAGGTGCCTTGTGTCTGAACTCCAGAAACACTCTGTATCACAGTCTTGCTACGGTCCACAAACTTAACTGTAATCACCTGACAGACATCCACAGAGAAAAGCCTACAATGGGTATAAACACTTCCTTGAGTTTGTGGTTCTCAGGGGTTTTATACTCTTGTTAAGGCTACCCATGGTGTGCATCACTTTAAAATCTTTAGCCCTCCTCACATTCATTAAAACATTTTGCACCTAAAGGCAGGAACTGAGCCAGTATTCAGAGATCTCCTTAAGTGTAACACTATAATCAGAACTGCTGTGATTCCCTACCAAAGTCTCACAAATCCAGCTGTTGATGTTTCCTCCTGGGTGGCCCTCAACAGAGTCTAGTCACTCCCTTTGCCATCCCATCCCTGTTGTGTGTTATTCTGCCGAACTGTATGTCATCTCACAGTGTGGAGTAAATACAGGGTGGACAGGTTAGCTGAGCATGGGATTCCATCTCTGCAACTACTGGTAGTTGTCACCCATGCTCAAGTAGGACTTTGTCATGATGCAGCTGCTTTCTCAGTAAACTGGTAAGAAACCCCCACTCACGTAAGTAAGGCCAATAAACCCACTAGTTCAGCAAGCCGGACTCAGGTGGGATTATTCTCTTACTCTGTCATTCCTGCCCTTTCTGGAGCGAGTGGGCCTTCGTTCCTGTGTCCCCAGGAAAAAAATGGTACAACATCATCTCATCTGTCTCTCCC